AAGGCAGATATAGACTCAAAAGATGATATATATAGCCGAACACCCCTTTCCTGGGCAGCGGGGAATGGCCGTGAAGAGGTGGTGAGACTTCTACTTGAGAACAAGGCAGATATAGAGCTGAAAGATAAATCTGGCCGAACACCTCTTTTCTGGGCAGCAGAGAAAGGCCGTAAAGAGGTGGTGAGACTTCTGCTTGAGAATAAGGCAGATATAGAGCCAAAGGATAACAGTGGCCGAACACCGCTTTTATGGGCAGCGAAGTATGGCTATGAAGCCGTGGCGAGGCCTCTAGGAGAGAATATTGTAAGTACAGAGTAGATAAATATTTCATGAAGCCAAAGCATTTCCTGCCGGTGGGGAGTACTAGCTGTGAAGCGTTAGTGAGGCTCCTGCTAAGGAAACGCAGATGTAGAGTTAGAATATTTAATACAACTAAACATCACTTCCCTGGGCGGGAGAGTATTATGATGAAGAGGTGGCGAGGCTCCCTGTAAGGCCCTGAGTTGGTATACTGCTATACAGCCAATATGACCTCAAAGTTGGACATTGAAGCTTGAAGAGCTCTTAAACGATGCAAGGCAGTCAGCTTTTAAGAAAATGGTATTTGCTAGTTCTGTCCTATTTCAGCTTTATCTTTCTCAAATCAGTCATTACGAAAACAGTGTAAGGCGATATTCTCAAGATGATAATTGTATCGCCGACAAAGAAGGAATAAAAGGAAACAGAGCGCCATCTCTACAATCACCAGGCCCATCGAGATTGTGTTCAGAGGGCAATGGGGGCACGGGTATACCGCCCAGCTTTGGGGTAGGCTGATGTACTGGAGACCAATAGAAGCCCCCAGCCTGGACCCATACCGGAACAACCATCGTTGAGGTTGCGGAGGTATCCTGTGAGGTCTGGGCAAGGAGTGTCGTGGTTGTGACTGCAGAAGTCGCGAGATCAGAGAGAGACGGGAATTATACCTCAGAATAGGTGTACGCCTCACCGTTGGTGTAGTATTCAGTTGTTCCAAGAGACGTAGGTCTCTGCGTAACGCCACCGCCGAGAGGACAGTAGCCATCTTTGCAACTATACTCACATAGACGGGCAAAGCTATTGGCACCTGTACCAATGATACATTTCTGACTGAAAATATTTGTTTCCGGGTTCGCATTGACATTTTCACCGCCACTGCCGCTGCCGACCCAGGCATTCCAATTTGTCAATCCCTTGGCACAATTGCTAGATATGGAACTGCTGCTGACTTGGGCTATCTGCTTTCCAGAGCGTGAAGAGGTGACGACGTCTCCCAGGCTAATACCGAAAGGAACACTACCATGGTCGATGCCAATGCCTCCGTCTGGTTACCAAGCAGCGCTTGCCGGGACACCTCAATACTGACCTGGTTGCCGGAGCACTAAGGAGAACAGAGAAGAAGGTGTGGTCTTGGACGATCTCGGTCTGATGAAACTCAATTAAAATTTACACTTATGGCTGAGAGAAGCACCATTTTCTATATATCATTTCGTCCTGGATTTGGTAGATTGCAGTGAAAGTAGTTCGAAACATATCTGTATTTTCGACACAGCCTTTAGGGGTATGGTCAAGGAAAACAAGGAAAATATACGATAGGCCATATTTCCTGCTAATAATTTCGAAAGTCGGCATATCTGGTAATAGTAGACTGCCGCCTCTGCAATTCCTCCCAATCCTCTTCAGTGAATATAGAGGACCAGGAGAACCACGTTAGGTCCGGAGAACATCCTCCGAGAAAGCCCAGACCATCCAGTCTGATACCATCCCAGAATACAAGGCCATATGGGTGGAAGACTGAGCGGGCAACCCCTTTGAGTGGTGACCTGATATCGTGTTTACATATCCGTAAGGACCGTACACCCCTGGAATTTTCCCCGTCACTCAAGTCGTTGCACCCAGTTTCACCCACCTCCATTGGCGCATCTATGACCGTTGTATAACGTTGGCAACAATGGCTGTACTCCGCTGAAACCTGGCCAGATAGCAACCAAGGATATATGTTTTCAGGTCTGTCTGCCTGTTGACACAGCCAGTGAAGAAGAGCTGCTAGCTGCTCCTCATGACCTTGGGTCGGCTGATACTTCCGAAAGGCATTCTTCCAAAACCCTTCCACGTTGTTGTCCAACAGTGCGCGGACAGACGCGCTGTCTTTAACAACGAGGGAATGTTCAAGATGTCCCTTGCGTAACTCGTAAAAAAGAACAACCAAGAAGAAACTACTGAGTAGTCGTTGCTCCTCTACCCATGTCAGTGGGCCAATATCAATGGGGGTGTATGGAATACCCTTAGGGCGCTGGCTGCGATCAACTACCCAGTCTGCAGTCCACCACCTTTTCCTCGGCCGTAGGGGTGGTGGTATATGCTCTAGCTGCAGCTGGAGGCACCTTGTAATTACAGAATGGAAATATGCGTGGATGAGACATCGTAGTCGAGCCATCAGACGAAGGAGCCGACAAAGAATGGCCGCCGGTGTTAACGGGGATATTGTCTTAAGCATAGAAGGCGATTCACGGGGACGCTCCAGGACATAATATAAACTGCCAAGAATATCTATACACGGTTCTTGCATTGGGGTCCAAACAAGGATGAGCAGCCGTATGATATCCTGGACATGTGGCGCTAGACCTCTTTCGCGGACCGGATTGCTGATAATCGCCTCCAAGATCCGGGAAAATAGATCTTGATTCCGATGTAAAAATACGGCAACTTCCGGCGACGCATTGTACAGGCTATGCAGTGTGGGTAGACTGGGGAGGTTTGATAGTATTTTTTCCAGGGCAAACCAAGGCAGTCGGCCGAATGGATCGGTGTCCATTTGTTTTGCTTTTTCATTGATGTGAGATTACCGGCAGTCAGAGATAAGAGCATCCGTTGATAATCCTTGCTTACCCACGAGTTAGGCCATGGAACCAGGAGCAGTTGAAACGATGCCGAAATGGACTCGTAAAGGAAGGAGGCTCACTTTCACCTCCCGCGGATGAGCGGAATATTTAATGGCCTATGTGGGGATGCCAAGCTAGCTAGCCCTCGTACTATCAGTTCGTCGAGTCCGTAGGTAAATGGAAGTGAAACCTCACCTGCAGCAGGGTAGCATTGTACCACTTAGTGTCATTAGTACAGGGTAGAGATCCTTGGATCTAAAAGTCTTTACCCTCAGTGAGTGCTAAACCGGAGTCGTGCGGCGAACTAACTGTATTAAATATTTAGTTTCCGCTCGTTCGGCGTAGCTAGGTAGCAGTAGAAAGGCACTTAGTACGGTTAGAGTCGAGCATTGCGGTTTTGTATACTATCCTCTGGCCCCCAAGCGATCTTGCCGTGAAAATATTGTTTGCGAATCCGCTTCTACTCCTAGCAGCCGTCGTTTGGTCTGTGACTTTGGCGATAGCATCAACCGACTGTCTCCCGGAGCTGACTTACAACGAGTTTGCCTCGTTCAATAGGGCGCGCATCATGGTGCTGGCCTTTTATGTTATGGAACAATCCTTGATATTGGCATCAAATAGATCGATCACTAGTAAGGGCTGAATTATCTCCAATACTATTCTTATCTTGATGCTTATACTATCGTGGTCAGATAATAGCGCTCCCCGTTATAAGAAAATAGATAAAACTTAGGAAAATTACCACATGGTCTGGTAGACAAACCTACAAAACTTTGTTCTGGATTGAAGTTATTGTCTTGTAATCCCACGCCAGCCCAGCTGAAGGCTCCTGCTAGCATGCTGCCATAAGAAACACGAATATTTGGCACGATATCATTCTGGAAAGTATTCCTGGCAAGAGGAAGATTCTTTAAGTCAGGAGGGCATTGATCACCGGCTCTCTAATCCATTCATTTTAATATCTTATGCCAATTTAATAAAAACAAGTAAAAATAAAGGGGTTTCGGATTTGAAAATATAAGTTCGTTTAAGGCTATTTACTAAATAGAACAGTGTTAATGGTGGCAAATGGAGGGTTAATATCTACCCTGTTTTGGCTCCTTATAATCAGACAAAACTAGCAACCCAAACATCCATGGCCCTAACTCCTTTGCGACCCCCGGGGACACCCTCCAAGCTTGCGTCACACGCATCCCGTAACGCAAGAACCACCGCCCGCTCCCTCTCATCACTCACTTTCTCCTCTACTTCCCTTTCAAAAGAAGAAGAAAGACAAGCAGAGACTTCCCATTGTCCATCCAACAAATCTTCACTACCTTGCACGCAAGTCTCACTCTCCAGATGCCATCCGGCAGCCAGGGCCAGCTTGGTAAGCTGCTTTGGCCCCAGCACCGTGCGGACGTTTGAGACGCTGCCTTTGGGTTTACGGCACTCCAGCGCTGCCTGGGTGAGCGCAGCTAATACGTGAGGCTGGGCAGAGGGGTGCGTCGCTACCAACGACCACTCAGCAAGGAGAAGACGCTTGCTGTGCTGCTTGATGGCAGAAAAGGTGGAAAGGATGAGCGAGGGGGAGGCGAAGTACCATAGGCAGTGAGCGAGCACCGTTGCATCGAAGGCCTTATGGTCACTGGCAGGCGCCGAGGAGGTGGAAGAGGGGGAGGAGAGGGAGGAGAGGTAGTCCAAGGGGGATTGCTGGATCCAAGTAATCCGCATACCCAGTGGGCCTTGCGAGATGTGACCCTGTGCTTGGCCGAGAGTATACGGAGCACCTGCAGGAGCCATCAGTTGGCTGCGTTCCGCTCGCACCACCTGAACAGACAGCAGGGTAAGAAAGGTGAGATGACTCACCATAATCCAATTCCGCCGGATCAACCGCCACCACCCTCCCCTGCTCGCCCACAGCACTGGCAAGGACAGTCGTGCAGTCACCCTGCCCGCATCCTAGTTCCAGCACCTTGGAGCCAGTGGGAATATTCCAGTGCTGCAGGAGAGCCAGGCGGTGAGAGGTTTGAGAGTGCTGGATGCTGAACTGTGTGGGATCGTGTAGGGAGAGACGGGCGATGAAGGCGGCGTCTAGTTGAGTGGACATGTTGGTCTCGGTGGGTTCTGGGAACAAGACAGCTGAGTGGGTTTTGCTACCGAAGAGCTGCGGATAGGGATATCTTATAATATTAGACTTGGAGACCGCAAAATTAGTGTGGGTAAACTACTCCCCCAACCCCGCCTTTTAGATTGGCTCACATCTCCTTATCTAACAGATTGGCTCTGCCTATAAGTGTTCAACATATAGGTCCCATTCCATGTGCAGGAGAACCATCGATGCAATAGGCCGCCGGGTTAAATGAGTATACTAGGGCTACAGGTGCTAACTAACTTGACTCGAAGAGTCACCAGACATACCTGGGAACGGGATCCATTCTACATGAACAATAACGTGGATTGAAAGCACAACGTATTTCATGAAAAGTAAGAACGGCAACGGCAGGTGGAATGTAATACAAATCCGGAATGCATTTCTCATCGCCTCTGCTCTTGATCACTACGAGAGGACCTAGGTTATGAAAAAGGATCGAAGCCCATGTGACCTGAACGCCCGACATTTCAAGACTGTGGTTAAAGCCGGTACGGGGTTTTGAAAGTACCTTCTTGAGACCAGGGCCATGACAGATCAAGAGGCAGCATTTCTGAGCAACACCCGGGCTGACTACGTCCAGTCCCAGAGGTTGTACATACATCTAGAGCCGCTACTCCAGTATCGGCACAGCCAGCTAAGCCCCCGGCGTACCCAGGATGGGCCAACCAGTATCCGTCTCAGTCAACATTGCACTCTCCGAGTATGCAAAATTGAACAGCAGTCACTTATAGCAAGCATAGGCCAATTGTGATATAGTATTTCCTCCAACTTCTTTCATCCTTCCTTTCTGTTCCTTTTTCTCCCCTCCCCCCACCCCAACCAACCACCTTTTTTTTCGATCTTTTTGTTTTCTCTCCCGCGCACGCTCATGCTTTCTAAGAGAATATAGGCGGCCATATTAAGTCCTGCGTGCCTTGCGACCTATAACAGATAGGCTACGCGCGCAAAGCTTGAGACGGGGTGCGTGGAACGGCCCGGTGCCTGCTTCTCACTGCGATGAGGTAAATGAGGGCAAAGCTCAGCAGCTTGGGTTCCTCTGAATGGGATTATTCTAATGAGGCAGCGATCGACAACCTCATCAGGAGTGCCATAATGGCCTTTAAACGAGCCTGACCTATCAGGGGCCTTGGTTGCTTCGCTGATTAAGTAGTGCTGCCTGGTCATTCTCCTTAGGCGCTCTCATGAGATCTACTGACCCATGAACAGATGCATGCACTCTTCCAGTGACAATGTGATTCTTCCCTTCGTATGCCTAATAGTCTTGAAGCAGAGACTGTGGCAAAAGTTATTATACCTTGGACATACGCCCTTTGCCTGTGGGGTTGGTCCTCAAAGACTGATTGCAATTATGACAGCAACATATATGGTTGGTCATAATCTGACCACCTTTGAGTACTAGGAAAAACCTGTTTTGAGAAAGCCTATGTCGTTTCAAAGGCCTAAGGGAATTTGTAAGTGGAGGGAATTGGGTCAGGATGCCTCAGGCCAATGAGTAGGGCAGGAATACCAGATCATCTATGATGAAAAAGATTGGTTTGATCGAGGCTTCATGGACCCGGAACAAATTCGGGACCGCTTTCTATAAGTTCAAAGAGCGAGCCATTGAATCCCGACCGTCGCTGATCCCAGTAATACTGGTTGAAGGCATGCAAACGGTCCACACAGGCTGGTCGGGCGCGAAGCCATGTTGAGCTCTCCCAGAGGCCTTCCAGCGAAACGGGAATTTCTAGCAGGGCAAGGAATAGTGGGAAAGTCGTATTTTGTAACTTAGCATCGGTTCCGGCATCCGCAAAGAATCGGCTTCTAGCGTCAAGAATATCACTAGCTAGAGCAGTTGCAGTCGTATCCTCAAAAGTCAGTGGATGGCGGAGTCGATGGATTAGAAGCAGGCCAGCGGTTCGATACATCATTGCCTGTGTGCGCATTGATAATATCTCCAGCTCGCTATACGCCTCCAAACAGAGAGTAGACTCATCAGGCGACCAGGTCAAAATCTGGTGCTCAACCTCTTCAAGGGTCGTTTCCTGAGCAGATCCATCTGCCAGTTGCTGGCTGACAACACACAGATCATAGAGTATCGGCAGCAGCGATGTACAGAGGCCTGCCACTCGATCAACGACTCCTGTACGGCTGAACAGCGGTCGAATCACAGGGACCTCACGATGAAGTAGGCACCATACTGTGTCCCAAAAGATCGGTGCGATCGTGATGGTTTCTAGAAATCGGTTGTGAGCAATATCCGGATACCATGGGCGAGTAAGGGACAAAGAGCATCGGAGGATTGAGATTTCTCCTGTGGATGTGACCACGGAATCAAACGCAGCTAAAGCCTGCCCCAACATTAGAACTGCGAGTGCGTCATGGGTATGCGTAATGACGGCATTTCTAAGCTTCTGTACGGAAGCAGCGCCGCTCCTGACATCGACTTGATCGGCTGTGAGCAAGCCCAAACGGGCCCACGAAAGACAGCTACTGATAGCAGCGAAGATTTCATCCAACAGATTCGCGGAATGACGGTGGCAGTATTCCAGGGCTCGTTGGAAATCTTTTGCAAACGTAAATCCAAACATATAGATGTCATGCAGAAGATAGAAGTTCTCAACCTCTAGGTGCGGGGAGGAGCCCGAATGTGTGGAGTCCGAGGGAGACCGTTCTTCTGCATCCTTGACTAGGCTAGACTTGATTACGATCTGGGGCTCCTCGTGACATTGCTCCTCAGGGCTACCCTCTGATAGGGCATAATCCCATATGGCGAGTGACCCTTTCGCTACCCCAGGATGTCCTTGTTTCGGCGGGCGCCCTGCACGTAGTTGCTGTCGGGAATTGGTGCAAGCAAGAGATGATTTCTCGCATCGGACGCATATGGAGGAAGCTGGGCGCATCAAGCATCTTTTCTTTCTACTGTAGCATTGATCGCAAGCTTTTTTCTGCATCATGCCCATTCCTTATCGATTATTATCAGGCGATGTGAGGCCAGGGTGGAGTGAGGGGAAGTCTAGATACAGTTCCCATTTAAGGGGCCGACTTGCCGAGGCCTTCCAGGATAAGAAAAGATACACTTAGACGTTGGGGAACTTGGCAAGTCTCCACTCTTTCTCGAAAGACGGGTTTATTTAAGTGGCAAAAGATGATCATCTCCACTAGGTGGCGGAGGGTTTTTTCGGTTTAAGGGATAGCGTAATGCGGAGACAACCAATAAAATAGCTCACTGGTCTCCTTGCCCTACTCAACAAGGTTATCTACTACATCATGAACAACCGATAAAACATATGGCTAAAGCCCAATCAAGTCATGGCACGTTGTTAGTCTTGCGAGCCTGCCAACTCTTGCTCCAAGCGCCGTAATCTGACAAAGCTTTGTGAGGCATGATCTCGCAAGCGTTCCTGAATCCAGTTCGGAAGCCCGCGGATCAGCGCGGCGAGGCTGTGAGACGAGGGAACAACGACCTGGCCCCCATTTCCATTTACAAGTTGCTTCAACACTGCTTGGGAAACCTTTTCAGGTGTCAAAATGGGCTGTCCAAACTGTGAGCGGTTTTGAACGAGGTCATTGATCATGGGTGTCTGAACCCATGACGGGTGGATGACACTGATACACAGGTGTTAGCAGCCGCCTCCTTGTAATGAAATATGTACGGGGAACTCACCTCGTGCGTACCCTTCTTGCGCCATACCAGTGCTTGAGCTCCTGGGTCAAACTTTCATGGAATGCAAGGGCCCCAGCCTTCGAGGATGCGTAGTCGGCCATTTGTCCCAGGGCTAGAAAGCTGGCCAAGCTGGCGATGTTCACAATATGGCCATGATCATTTTTGATCATACTAGGCAAGAACTCCTTCACAGTCCAGAAATGGGATAGGGTGTTGACCTCAACGGTCAGGCGTATCTTTTCTTCCGGTTTGTCCAGGACGGTGCCCATGAAACCCACACCGGCGTTATTGATCAAGACAGTCGGATGGTCATGGTCCCTTCGTACTTGGGTAGCTACCTCTTTAATTGCGGCTGAGGATGTAAGATCGACCTTGTAGAAAAACACGTTTGATGCTACACAATATCGTTAGCGGGTACACAGTGATATCTATGGCTGGCGATCACCCACGCAAAGGAAACTTGGGCTCCTGAATATCAAAGATGACAACCTTGACATGAAGCCTGGACAAGTCCTGCATTATTTGCTTTCCGATTCCACTGCTTCCTCCTGTGAGAAGCACCAACTCTTTGGATGCATCCCAAGGACGTGAGCGGACCCAGTTGTTCTGCGCCCTTTGGGATAGATACCTGTTGAGAATTCTCAGAGATTGAATGGCTGTCACAAATGCGATCGCCTTGTGAACAAATGGGCGGGATAGGTAATCCTGAGCATTTGGTGGCAGTTGGGAAAAAAGGGCTTGAGCCTTCTCCAAGCAAAGCTGCAGTAGATGGTTGGTAGACATAGTCATGATTTGATAGACGATAGTGCGGGTTTTCCTGTGATGAAGAGTGATGAAGAGCGACGGTGACGGGCGCTGTTGGCCCTTTTTATAGCTCTTGATGAACTCGTCCTCTGACTTTTCAACTGAAGAAACTTGAAACTATTAAGCCTAACTTCGAGTAATCATTCGCAAGGTTTCGCTAATTCATCAATCCTAGGGAATTTGAGTCTCTACGTTTCGCTTGTGGCTGTGGAGCCCAGGCGGAGGGTTTTTACCACTCTGGGGAATCTTAAAGTCATCTCAGCGGCGCCACGCCAATGACAGGAGGGCACATGAGGCGATCAGGATTTATTTTGTCTCAGGACGGGGTTAACCCGAAGATTCTGGAAATGACCTCGGGATCGAGAATGGGGGAGGCAGAAGCGGGCATGTTTTTATCTGCATGGCCGGAGTCCCTTGCCAGTCTCTAAATGTATATATATCCCTATCCTGCCGTATCAAATCGAGCCAAATTCTCGATTCGTTTTACCTACACCCTGTCTTGCATCCAAGATGGTCTCAACTTCGTATGATGTCCTCATTATTGGGGCAGGGATATCTGGCATCAATGCCGCCCATCGTCTCCAGACTGACTTTCCTAACTACCGCCTCGCCATCCTGGAGGCCCGAAACAACATCGGGGGCACATGGGATCTTTTCCGCTATCCCGGCATTCGATCAGACTCTGATTTGTACACTTTTGGCTTCAGGTGGTTTCCATGGAATCAATCTAACCCCATTGCAGAAGGGGGAGACATCTTGAGGTACCTCGAGGATGCGGCTACTGCACATAGCATCAAGCAGCATATCCGCCTCAACCATCGTGTGAACGCAGCCAAATGGGACGGCCATGGGTGGACTCTCGAGGTAGAAAGTAAGGGCACTTCAGAGGAACTGAACGCTCGCTTTATCATATTTGCGACCGGCTACTATGATTACCATAACCCCTTGGAAGCCACTATACCGGGGTTGCAGAACTTCAACGGCGAGGTGATTCACCCTCAATTCTGGCCCGAGCAATTCGATGCCTTGGGTAAGAAGATTGTAGTCATTGGCAGTGGTGCTACTGCAGTGACCCTTATACCGTCACTCGCGGAGGACTCGGAATCTGTGACAATGTTGCAGCGCAGTCCTACGTATCTCACGTCCATCCCTAATGCTCAGCTCAACTCCACCTGGAGCAGTTTCCTGCCAAAGTCAGCACTATACTATCTCCGTCGACTGTGGTATCTGGTGGTTCCTCAGCTTTTCTATCAATTTTGTCATACTTTCCCAAGCGCCGCGAGATCTATGCTTCAAAACGGCATGAGGGCGCAACTGCCCCTGGGTGTCCCTTTCGATCCCCATTTCAAACCTCGCTACAACCCGTGGGATCAAAGACTGTGTATCTGTCCCAATGGAGACTTTTTCAGGGCTTTGAATTCCACGAAAGCGAGGGTTGAGACTGGGGTGATTGACACGGTTGATGGAAACGGGATCCAGTTGACCTCTGGGAAACGACTCGACGCCGATGTCATCGTCACGGCGACCGGGTTGAGAATGAAATTCTTTGGCGGCATTCCCATTTACATCAAAGGAGAGAAGCTTGATACTTCTGAAAAGTACACCTGGAATGGCCTAATGCTGCAGGACCTCCCGAACGCAGCACTGGTGTTGGGTTTCGTGAACGCCTCGTGGACGCTCGGGGCTGATATTGCCATGCAGCTCATCTGTAGGCTCCTGAAGCACATGGAAAGCAAGGGCTATGGAACAGCTATCCCTACTCTTGAGAATCAAGGTCCGCCAGCCAACAAGGCTGTGTTGGATCTCAAGTCCACTTACATCAAGCGAGCAGTAAAGGAGTTGCCGAAAGCGTCAGATCAACGGCCGTGGGTATCGCGTACCGGCTACTTCTCCGATTTATACTTTGCAACATTCGGAAATATTAGAAAGGGTCTTGTTTTCTCCTAGTTATGAACGTTTTAATCCCCATCCTACGTTGGAAGCGGGAAGGAATGGCCCCGTCATGTATCCTGCATATTGCTGTCATTCTATGAAGCTTTTTTCATCATGCTCATTTCTATTTCCTCACATATCATTGTACGTCGAGCTTCCTGGAGGCCATGCACTGTATGTAGTTTTGTTTAATGTAATTCATTTTTTGATGAGCTACACAGCGATCTTGGCCCCTGCATTGCTCATAAGAAACATCATCGCATCCCCTAAAATATACACATGCGGTCTCTGACTGACTCACACTTTTGGGGTTCTTTTCCTTGGGAGTACTGACGGGATATTTTACTGCTCGATGGTGTCCGGGCGATAATATGCTCACCTGAATCACCGTAACTCTCAGTTTAACCTCGCCTTATCTTAGAGCAGGATAGTAGTATTGTTGCCGCTTGACCCGCTCAGTTTTAGGCTCATCTCGATGGTATGCTTTTGCCAAAACCAGTTTTTAGGTTTCTGGGTCGCATTTGGCTTGCCGTACGTCTGGATACGTGTCAAGACTATTCTAAGGCTTGCCTTGACTCATATATCACAGGGGCTAGGATGGGGCATGTAACTCCGTCAGCATTGAGACGAAGACATTGCCCCACGTGATGCATCACCGACAGGAGCCAAGCATCCTTGATTCGCGCTTTTGACGCGTCGTTAATCCCATTCAAGTACTGCTCACATATGCCTGAACCAGACAAGACTAATTCTCTTATAGATATTAGGGTCAGGTTGGGGTCTACTGGCTTGGTCTATTAGGTAAGGAAGCTCTGGTATCAAAATGGGACCCGCACCTCAACTTGAAAACAAAGATGCAGATGATATCCTTCGTGTAGCTTCTTATCATCGCCGAGATTTCGACCTTGCTGTGGTCAGAGTAAATCCACATGAACTTGAACATGTTCGCAATTCACTACTGCGCGTCAATCGCCGCACCTCGACCAATCTCGGATATCTTGATGTCTTGCCCCTAGAAATACTCTATGAGATTTTGTCCTCCCTGGATATCATGTCTCTTATCAAGTTTCGGCAGATCAATCGACAGGCCCAACAATTAGTCTGCACTGTTCGTGGCTATCGCACGATTATAACCCACGCGCTTGGGGCTTTGGGTGCCATATTGAAGACGAGAATAGCGTCATGGTTCACTGTACATGACTTGCGTGAGGTGCTCTATACCCGCGATTGTCTTCTCTGTGGCTCTTTTGGCGGTTTCATTTTTCTGCCATCTTTTCAAAGATGCTGTCTTCCATGCGTCGAATCAGCTTCTGACTTCTGTCTGATATCTCTGGCCGATGCCAAAAAGTGCTTTATATTGAACCTTGCCAACCTGCGCAATTTGATCACTGTATTGATAACTATACCGGGAATCTATTCAATGGATGGGACTCCACGTAAAAGGAGTGTCCAAATTATAGCAGAGAAGCAGATAGCATTAAAATGCCCTAAGGCCAAAGAAACAACCACACCTATTGCTCAACCAAACAAGATGTCAATGGTTTTTAGGTATATGGCTACCACTGCATTACCGTATATTAACAAGGCCAGCGGTGCAATTGAACATGGGACATGCTGTATAGGCTGTCAGATTGCTATCGAAAAGGACCTCAGAAGTACGTCAAGAGAGTGGGACACCGCGTGCGCTTTACGGGACCGAATATACTCGCGTTGTGGCTTCCTAGATCACTTCAAGCAGTGCAGAAGGGCTCAATCGCTATGGGATGCAAGTCATAAGGGTACGGTTTCTGTTAGTGTCCCAGCATCAGTCAGACGTGGGGGCTATTTTAGAGAGCGGGATGATACTGTATGATAGGTGCTGTGATGTTTGTAATAACGAAATAATGAATAATGAAATTCGAGCTCAGGACCCATCAGCCGTTCTTCTCGTCTAATCAAAGATATCGGTCCCATTATATCCAACTTGCCTACTGTTAAAATTTACCAATGCTCGAAATCCCATCCTTGAGACGAGTAACTCTAAACTAGTTTCCTGAATCAGACCGAAATATGGACGTGTGCGGCAAAGCTACTTCCTGCGCCAAGTTTATGGAATGAAGAGGAGGGATCACAGGTTTTGGACCCATCAAATATAGTTGCTACGCATTATTTGACGCATTTACGCTTTCTGCTTCCAACACTCAGCAGTGTTTCTTTGAGATATCTTTCTAACTTCCTCAGCTTTGACCAATCCCAGTCAACAGTTAGCCTTGCAAAGATGTCGTCTAGAATGTAAATCTTAATATCCTACATATGTAGTGTTACTGGAAACAAAGTAGCGCCCAAGGGATGCCGAGACTGCCCAAACTGTACAAAGTGAATCCTCGATGCACTTAATACAAAAGTCTAGTACAAGATAGCTAAGACCTTGTCTATATCATAACCAACACAACGCCGACATCAATCTCACAGGTCCTCCGTAGCTTGCTCTGAGTAGAGTTCCACTGGGGCATCACGGTTAACGAGATGATTTACATGTATATTGGACGTAATAAGTAGTGCACATCTTGAACGGTCTGGTCAAATTAGTTCATGAGCCAGCTTGAACCCGCATATATGCCATACTACATACCCTCCCAAATACTGTGTATTCATTGGACCGATGTGTAAGTAGAATGACCCAGTATGTTCGCTGCTTCACAAACTATCAGTGCCATGGCCCATTTCAACTTGTAGACTTGTTAACATACCTTTCTGTCCCTGTGATAAGCTTGAGAAGACTGAGGAGCTTCTCGTACCGAAGGTTGCGGAGGCCTTTTTATCTACCAATATAGCTGCATGTCAAAGCGTCAATCCTGCCGCCGGGGCAGATAATGATGAACATTATGCGGTCGAACCTCGCAACCTTGTACATGGCAAGACCGATGCACTAAAAATGTCGTGCCTCTTGTACTTGAACTATGTATATACGTTGCATCATTCGATACTGGAAGTTTCAAGAGAATATGGCCTTTTAGAAATATTTTTAACGGTTGTCCAAGCGCTAATCGAGATATAATTTACCTTTCTTAGGAGCCATTTAATGTCTCACAAAGCTACCTTAAAAAGCAAAGCGCAGACTATCATTGCTCGCCCAGGAGGAATCTACACCACTTTGTGTCAGGCTAGGCGGCTCTTATGGTCCTTGGAAAAGAAAGTAGGTATACATCCCTGGTATATCATTTTCAAGTGGCCAGTATGAAGCGCCACATCAGCTTACTTGGGAGTACTTAGGGTTCATGCCAGTTGCAAGCAGGATCCACAGTGCAGCAATCAAATCCTCCCGGGGGCGTTCGTCACTGGTGATTTGACAAGGGCTTTGGCCGCCGCGGGATTAAATAGACAATAAAAAGAAACGTCAAACCACTAAGGGCTCCCCATGAATGTCCATGGAACTTGCCCTAGGGAATACGTGTTCCTTACCGTCGCTAATATGTGGTTTACTTATTGGATTGTGACTATCCGTCTCCTGTTATCTACCTAGCAGCACTCTTTCTATCCTCCACCAAAATGGCAATTGATCGGTTGTCATATCCTACCACTGTTCTCTCAATGGAAGTTGATGGGGAAGACGATAGCGAGTATAGGATACTCTTCCACGGTCGCATTCTATATGTGACTATCGCCCTAGGAACGTACGACAGAGCAACGCTATCTATGCCCCTCGACTCTTTGCCGGATCTTCCTCATGATGATCATGGAATCACGCTTTTATCAGTCGGGATAATCTGACCGGCGGGCTGAAAACGTTGCTATCTACTCGCGTGTTTCCCAGCGTCAAGTGCATTTGGCACGCAAGCCTCATTGACTGCATGGATCTTACGAAGACGAGAACAATTTCGCCGAACGCGTTCGAAGTGACCTGCCCGCTGACCAAGTTGGGGGTACAGGATAAAGTCATTGCCAAGCTCGCCCGCTTCGAATGGGAAATACAAGGAATAGAACGGGAGACTCAAGCCTACAAAATGCTAGAGCGGCCTGGTCTAGCGCCACGGTTTGTCGGTTATGTCCATGAGCATGGACGCATGATAGATCTTGTGTTAGAGAAGCTCGAGGGACGTCATGGTTACATTGAGGACCTCTCGACCTGCCAAGCTCTTCTACAACGCTTCCATGCCCTTGGCTTGCTCCATGGGGATGTCAATCGCTATAATTTTATTGTACAGCAGGGATCCGCGAAGTTGATTGACTTTGAGCATAGCCGGCACTGTCCACGTGAGGTCGAGGCTATGAATACTGAGATTAGCAGTTTCCATGAGCAATTGGTGGAGGAGCCGTGGCGTGGTGCAGGAATTATCTTCAAGGAAATTGAAGTCCATGATAATTGACAGGCTCTGAGTGCTCTTGTGACCTGTAATTCACAGCTATGCTGTGAGGATAACAAGGGAGGGAATGACGATGCTTAGCCCAGAACTGAACTTCACGTCGAAACACTACACATGGATAAATGAGAGACTTTGTTCGCTGATCTAGGCTTGCTTAGATCTCGTATATTGGGCGGTTCCATGGTCAGTGTCTTGGACATTATTTTTCTCTTCGCAACACTGTGCGCCCCATTTATCCTATTAGACCTATGAACCACTATTTTCTATATGGTGTTATGAATTTCTACCGACACCCCAAGAAATACATGAAATTACAAACATCTCCTTTTCCTTCAGCCGCACCAAGCGGCATTGTACAATATGTCTCATAGAGGGTCCTATTGAGCGTATGTATGAGGCCTTATGAAGAATGCAGTGGCCGAGGATCATACTGTGGGATGATAGCTAAAACGAGACCTACCCATGGACCCTGATATGAAGACATCCCCTATGATTAGCGCATTTTGATGGAGAGCAAAACCTCAGCTAAACTAGGTAAACGTTGAAGCTATGAGCTCCTAGATACCATATATCTTGTTTTACACCTGGCAAGCATAGGTATGAATAAATCGTGAGCAGTAGCTAATAAGAGCTGATGCACAACTCTCTGAGGTGCAAATATGACACCACAACAAACATTCTATGCGCATGTTACGAGTTGGAATCATTAATTATAAATATGATATTGACAATACAGGGGTTTACCATCCAGAAACCAGCTCAGTCTACGGTTTGCATTTCCACCTGCCATTTAGCAGCCATTATGACATACGTACCTAATCCAGATGTGAGGCTGCGAGTAATTGGCCATGCATATATGTAAAGTTAATCCTGGGTAGGTCCACCGGCCAAGCAAACTACACCACCCGTCGGTTCACTCTTGAATCTTGACGTACTTTTGCAACGCTATGGCGAACGTGCTCTTGAGATGCACTTGGGATGGCGGTCAAGGTCCAGACCCCTGTCGCTCAGATGGAGCTTCGCAATACTCAATCTATTAGGGTTGTTTCCAGGGTCGCACTATTCCGTCTTCGTGAAAGTGATCAATTTGACTTTTGTCGGAAGGTTCAAGAGGAGAGTACCAGAAGCTCCAGTGGTTCGTCTACCCCAATGGCGGTGGATACAAATAGTCAATGCTCTGTGCGATACGACATTGTACAATCATCCTTTATCAACATATAATCGGGGTTTGGTTTTGGAATCGTGATTGTTACCCACAGGAGCGAAGCGAATTGTCCCGCCATCACAATGCCGTTTGTTGATCACATCACATTGCATCCGAGATCAGATCACTCTGAGGGGTAACCATCTCGCATGCGTCATACCGGTGTTGGCCCACTATTTCCTCAGTCGTTTGACTCCGCAGTTTTCAAATCATTGTTGCTATTGTCAGGATTATATGCTCGGTCGATGCGGAACAGTGCGACAGAAACCCCCTGATTTAGGGCATGTCCTACATAGTTGGCATGAATGCCTAGTTGTATCACAGTCACGGTGACAGTGTATCGGCAGATAAGGTCTCCCTAGCTTGGGCGACAAAGTAATACTTAGAATAATCGCCATATTCAAATTAAGATGCTATCGGTTGTTTTGAAACCGATCTAGGTGTAATTGTGCCAGGCTACCGCAGGTCATCCAATCAATCGCACCAGGAGAAATGTAACCGACAGACCTGTGACAATGATCTCCCTTTTTTCTGTTCCCGCCCAGGACTTTATAAAACCAACAAGGCGTGCTTTTACAGTACCTCCACGAGGCTCTGTGCCCAATATCAGCCATGTACGGTGATAGTAGTGTAGTGGAGATTGTGTAGGCGTTCTAGAAGATATGATTTGGTGTTTCGGTTGTTGCCCGTTGGAAGAAGTAAAATAGCACCAATGACACCAATCCTTCCAGAGAAATACGGTTCTCCTCGCGACAGGCAACAATCCAGTGAGAACGATGGATCGTCTTGGACGTGACGGATTTACGCGCCGTGGTGGTCACTTGAGGTGGAGATACGAACGGTGATTGGTGGGCGGAGGTGACGAGGGCTGCAGTGTGAAGAAACGCCCGTCTGCAGGTTGAGGGCCAATCAGCAGCCATACATCACCTGGGATCACCTGGGATCACCTGGGATCACCTTACATCTGCCTCCGCTCTGGCAAATACCACCAGTGTCCATCACGACTACTACATTCCCCCCCGCTTTGTCCCATACCTTCAACGACTACTCAACTTCGTACTACTTAGCTAGACTGTTAGCACTGACTCTTATGCAGTTGCCTTTTATCTATCTATTAATATGATCCATACTAATGATTGACCAAAGTGGTACCACTAACGCTTCTAGTCTGATGATATTTTCCCGCCCACTGCATCTTGGTACCGCCAATTGGCCGTACCCTCACTGCCGTCTCTATTAGCCCCAAACCTTGCGCAGTGTCGATGTACTCGGATCATGCGGTGGGATTGGACTTGATCGTGATCACTGACCGGTTCTCTAATGAGGTACTAATTAACTTAGTCTCGATCGGGTGGAGGTTTTATCCAGAGCTCCTCGCCATGTATGGGAAGATGGACTGCCAAAACGTCGACCAATGCCAATATCAGGTTGCATCCCTGCACGCTCGTTGGTGCGCGTGTGGCCGAGCCATTGATGGGTCCTATCGGTCCCCTCCTACTAATCAGATTCCTGGACGGTTCTCCCCTGCTCGGTGGTGGACATCCTGGTCGCTGGAAGCGCCCGTCAATCCACCTTGGCGCGAGCTCCAATTGCTTCATGACTGGAGATTTTGATCGTCCGTGTCTGTCGTCTCGCAAGACATCGCAGATTCCTAGAGTCTGTGGGTGGTCTGCACGGGATACGATCGCCATGAACTAGATAGAGAGGCTGGCGCTATCAGGAGGAATCATAGGAGCTCGCGCAATGTACCTCCTGGAAGCAATATCTGGTACCGAGAATTAATATCCCCCCTGTCCCTCCGATCGTCTCCTTATTCATACCCCCTCCCCGCCTCCGCTCTAGTTCTTTTCTTAATCCTTCCCCTCCCTCCCATATGCCACCAACGTGGTTTTCTGGTTAGCGCGAGGGTTCCCTGGTCTATCTGCTGCATCTCCGTTGATTTCTTCACCTGCATATTTGTGCATTCGCTTGCTGCCCCAATTTAGAAATTTTTCTGAGTACCGTACCGGTCCCAAGTTCTTAATCTCGCACGCCCCTCCATTCTCGCTGACCGCTGCTCGGGTCCTCTCGGGCCTTCAGACTTCATTTACATAGTCCTGCCCCTGTTCCGCTTATGTCTTCGGTCGGAAACTCGTTAATGCCCCGGTGGACTGTGTGCTGTCGTCACAATAGGCACTTGCAGCTGTGAAGACAGTTATCGCCAAAATCTCAGCGGACAGGCGACGAGGTAATTGTTTTCTGCATGCTGGAACACCCAGTGCCATTCTGGCTCGAGTGGGACTCAATAGTGAACTAGAATTACTAAACCCGTTGAGTGTACGCATCTTCAAGATCAAATAAACTCGGTGCCGGTGCAACCGGAAGCATGGTCGAATTGTCATGGAGTGCAGCCGCGGTTCCGGATTCACGACCTACGAGGATGAAGACATTAGCGCCACCGATTACGTCGGTAGCTCCAACGTCTGAGTCTACCTTTGTGCCATGCGCCTCGACAGCATCCCTCTTCCTGTATGCCGAAAGCTCAGCCATTGTGTGCCTCCACCACGATACTTTGGCTGTCGAGCGACGCTTCGAAAGCCATACCGACGATATTGGGTTTATATCGGTAGACAATGTCAGTGAACGCGGCGCAGGGAGACTGGTCGTTAGCTATGATATTAGTCAAACGGCAATTGTCTGGGATCTGTTTACTGGCGCGGTGGTCGCACGGTTCGCATCATTTGACCAGCTCCAGGTGGCCACTTGGATGCGCAATGGCAATGTAGCGTTCGGTATATCTACCATACCTCTATAGATTGTTTGGTAGCAGGGCTGATACGACTGTAGGAAACGTAAAGGGTGACGTGATCTTGTTTGAACCATCCACATCGGAGCATATCTCTTGCCGGACGATCTTCGACCCTATCACAGCTTTGGCGCCGTCAGCAGACTGTCGAACCTACGCCATTGGGTATGCATCTATTTATTATCTTGCCAGTTAAGGTCTTGAAACGTCAAATCCAAATCATACTAACAAAAAGCTAGGTACCAGAATGGATCAATTCTGATAGCTACTCTTCACCCCACATTTACTATCTTGCATACGATGAGCACATCCCGCGGGCCGTCCCGGATCGTCTCGCTGGCATGGCATGCATCATCATCAAAACAAAAATCGGATATGCTTGCTACCCTTTCCGCAAACGGTGATCTGAGGGTATGGAGCGTGGCTAAGCCCGCTGGTAAAGATGTGCCGCGGGTAATCAGGGTTCTCAAGAGATCGGACACGTCTTCCTCCACCGAGCCTAAGTGGATGGCCTGGTCGAAGAATGGTAGGATCGTTCAGTATCTCGAGGGGTAAGATAGCGCTGCAACTCTAACGCTGCCCATTCTGTGGTTAAAATTACTGACAGCTGCTGCTAGGGAAACATGGGCCTGGGATGTGCGAACCAAACATGTCACGTCGGAACCAGTTCCAACGATTGACAATCCTCGTGGGTTCGCCAATTATGGGCCAACAGCCACATTATTTACACTAGGGCCTCACCACACCATACAGCAGTATGACCTTGAGAGCCCGGGATTAGTCGCCAATGTCCAGCATCCTCCCGGTGGAGTCTTACCAACATCCGAGGACGCCAGAGCCCGTGGTGTGTCAGCACGTATGCTCCAAGACCCACCAGAGATGAAGGAATCCGGTGCCATGTACGGCACGAGACGAGCTCCGTTCGATCCGAGCGGAATCGAAGCTGTACGTCAACAGCGTGCCGAGCTAACTAGTCCTGTCTCTTCACGAAGTCAGGCAAACACCATCAGTTCAAAGGCCTCCTCAGGGAAGTACAGGATGCTCCCCTTTTCATCCCCAAGTAGATCGGGCCACACCGCTACATCCTTTTCACTCACCTCCGCTAGTGGTAGAGATACGCCTCAGGCATCTGGTGCATCTTATGCGTATGCTTCTTCCGTATCCTTATCATCTGTGAAAAGCTCCCGTGCCGGCTCTCGTTTGCGAAACGAGGTCCAGCCCAGCCCAGCAGATAAGCGCATGGATCTGTTTCCTTTCACACGCGAACGACTCAACGATGTGCCCTATAGCCGCCAACAGCCCCTGGATGAGACTCATCTCACGCCAGACGATCTCCGTCGTCAAATGCTCAGCGTGGTCTTCGGCTGGGATCATGATATTGATGGACTGATCAACGATGAACGTATGAAATGCTTGGTGTTTTCTGTTTAGATATCTTTGCTAAATTCTGTCTCAGTTAGCCGCCACACACCGGGAACTCAAAGCGCTATTCTACTCGCCCAGTGGCTAGGGGAATCAGACACGGACCAAATGGTGTCAATGCTTAGCCCAGGTTCAGCCTCAACAGCAGATTGGATGCTTCTTGCTTTTAGCCAGATGAGTGGCGAATCACAGGCCAACAAGGTCGGACAGGCTTTCGTGCAGAAGCTCCTGGAAATTGGTGACGTGCATACTGCAGCTACGATTCTTTTGGGGCTTGGCGATAAAAACGATGCTATTGAAGTTTACGTCTCCCAGAGCTATTATATGGAAGCTATCCTGATGGCGTGCCTGGTGACTCCCACAGATTGGCAGCGCCAATCATATCTCGTCCGTCGCTGGGGGGAGCATGTCGTCTCACACTCCCAGCAGCAGCTAGCAATACGGTGCTTTATGTGCACAGGAGTCGAACCTTCGGAGCCTTGGACCTCTCCAGCTGCCCAACAGGCTGCCTCCTTTGCCGAGATGATGGCGATTAAATCACCAATTACCTCCCCGGAACCCCCTTATCCTAATCCGTCAGGTCTTCTACCACCAGGCTCTCAGACAAAGCCTTCCAATAGCCGCCAAGCCAAGACTCCGGCCCTGAAACTCATTACGTCGTTTGACTCACAACCTAGCCAGAAGTTCCGATTCCCCGGTTTAAAGTCGGATGATAGGACACCTACAAATGTGCCCGGAGTTACGCCCATTGCTGAATCCGCTGTAGCTGACTCAGCATTGTCCCCTGGAGGCTTTGGTTCGTACAAACTGAATAACATCCAGAGTCTGAACAATGCGATGAGCTCCCGAACCGGTACGCCCGCCTTTAGTAGAGGGCGCCTATCTTCCATTGGGGAAACCCCCGTTGACGTGCAGCCGCCAACCTTTCCATCCAGTGGTTCCAAGAAGCTCGTCGATTATGGCTCAACTTCGGAGAATGATGATCAAGAGGACAAACCCGGTAGCGAGAAAGAAGAGCAGATTGGCCTGCTGCCTTCTGCTACATATGATCCCGATGACGCGTTCAAACCAAGTCCGCAAACCGCTGTCCAAACGAATACAGACACGTTTGCAGGCATCAAGGGAATGCCCTCTCCAGTGTCTGGGCTTTTCGAAGCTCTGAAAGACCGATCTGACAGTCGCAATGGATCTAGGGATAGGAAACCCGATGGACTTCAGCTTTATTTGCATCCTGCTGAAAACTCTGGTACTGATGCCGCCGACCA